TAAAAAAACCTGTTACAAAAAAAAAAAAAAAAAAAAAAAAAGAGGGAGAACTTAGCCATGTCTGTAAGTGGCTTGGACTACTGAGATCCACAAACTACTAATAACTCCCTATGGTTTGGAGGTATTGGGAGGGCTCTGTGAATGCAAAGTCTGCGTTATGCTTTTGGGATAAACTTATAATCAATTTTAAAAGATTTATTTCATTCTTTTCTTTTTTTTTTAAAAGGTTTATGTATGTATACAATGTTTGGCCTGCATGTATGCCTGCAGGCCAGAAGAGAGCACCAGATCTCATTACAGATGTTTGTGAGCCATGTGGTTGCTGAGATTGAACTCAGGACCTCGGGAAGAACAGGCAGTGCTCTCAATCAATCCCTGAGCCATTTCTCCAGTCCCTCCTTATTTTCAAGCACACACACACACACACACACACACGCGCACACACACACACACACACACACACACACACACACACACACACGTCTCTCTCTATATGTCTGTGTGTGGTCTGCACATGTGAGTGTAGGTATCCTTAGATGCCAGGGGCCTCAGCTTCTCCTGAGACACCTGACATGAGTGCTGGGAATTAAACTTGGGTCTTCCGCAAGGGCAGTGCATGCTAATTGTGGAGGCATCTGTTTCTGTAACAGATGGGGAAGGCATCTCCATGTTGTACAGGCTGGTTTGAAACTTTGCGCAAGAGATCCTCCTGACTTGGCCTCTTGAGTGTTGGGACTACAGACATGTCCAGATTATGTATCTTTTATGGTAAAGTATCTGTTTAGGTGATTTGCTGATTTTTCAAAATCAGCTTGCTCATTTTCTTATGGTTATTTTTCTTCTCTTTTGGTTTTTTGAGACAGGGGTTTTCTGCCCTGGAATACTCTCTGAGACCAGTCTGGCCTCAAAATATGAGATCCACCTCCCTCTGCCTCCTGATTGCTGGGATTAAAGGTGTGCACTGCCATGCCCTGCCTTATTTTTGAATTTTAAGAGTCCTTTATTTTTTGTAAAGTTTTTGTTTTTTTTATTAGTGTTCGCCTATGTGTGTTATGTGCACCACATGTGTGCAGTGTCTGTTGAGGCTGGGAGAGGGCGTTGTTACCCTGGAACTGGAATTACTGCCATGTGGGTGCTGGAATTTGAACCAGGTTCTCTGGAAGAGCAGCCAGTGCTCTTAACCTCTGAGCCATTGCTTCAGTCTTGCAGTAGACTTTTATCAGATGTTTATAAATCCTTTCTTATAGTATATCATCTATCTTTTCATTCTCTGGCCAGTATCTTTTGCAGAACAATTTTGTTGTCATTAATGTTTACTAGGGTTTCTAGGGTTAACAGTAAAACCTATAACTTTGTACATGCTAAGTAAACCTGGGGGAGGGCTGGCTATACTGTCAACATTGCTGGTTTTTTTTCTCCCCAAGACAGAGTTTATCTGTATAGCCCTGGCTGTCCTGAAACTCACTGTGCAGATCAGGCTGGCCTTGAACTCACAGAGATCTGCCTGGTTCTGCCTCCTGAGTGCTGGGATTAAAAGTATGTGTTACCACTGCCTGGCTGACAAAACTGTTTTGAAGGTCTTTACCAGTGAGATGAATATCTGCAGTCATTTGACCCAAGTAGCGTCCCTGTAGGATGTGTGTAGGGTGTGAAGGGGGGGGGACTCTTTTCCTCCAATGAAAGCCTTATATGTTAGTGTTAGAATCCCAGTCTAATTAAGTTCTAGGCCAGGCAAGAGCTTTTGTGGTCCTGGCTGGCTGTGTAACTTGGTTTCTGGTCTGCTGAGGACAAGGCCACAGGATGATGATGTGGGATTAGAGACGGTGATCTAGAAACTGGATTCTCAGCCCAGCTTTGCCCAAAGCACAGTATGACAGGAGTCTTCCCTCTACCAGGGTCTGCTTCCTTGTCCACAAAACAGGAGTATTGGAGCCCAGTATGGTGCCACCTCAGGTCCCAGCAGAGTGGTACTTCTATGGGCTAGCTAAGAGGCTGCACAGGGAAAGCCATGAAGCAATGCCTGAAACCAGCAATCCTCCTGCCTCAGCCCCCCAAGGGCTGGGAGTATAGGCATGTAGTACTTTGGGCAATATATTTTGTGAGCTTTCTCATTTTCTAGGACCAGCAAGGCATGTGTGCTGTGCTGTAGTCCTGCCCCTGATCTGTTGGTTCTGGGAGAGAGGGGTCCTGTGGGCCATTTCCACCTCCCCTTTGGGGACAGTAGTTTAATCCATTCCTAACACCTTGGGCTGCCTTGGGTGTGCGGTGGGAGATGACCCAGGGGTCTGCTTATTGGAAAATCTGAGCCTCCCTGTACCTTGCTGTCCCTTGCAGTGCAGATCACCCTGCCTCCCACCATGAATGTGACAGACCCTGATGGCATCGTGTTCAGTGCATCACACATGAACATGCACTGGGGTGGTGGCTTCTCTGAGCTCAGGGGCTCTGAGCACACCATCGATGGGGTCAGGAGTGCCCTAGAGGTATGTGAAAACCCCTCCAGTGTCACCTTCCTTAAAGCTCCAGTTGCTTTTCTCTTTGAGTATGTGTTTGTATGTTTGTGTTGTACAGGTGTCATGTATGTGCACACGCCTTTGTGAGTGTGTGGAAGCTAGGGGTTGACATTGTCTTCCTCTATCACACATTTATTTTTTTTTGTTTTATAGGCAGGCTCTCTCACTGAGTGTGGATCTCATCTATTAACTAGACTGGCTAACCACTGAATCCCAGGGAACCTATCTCCAGACACTGCCTCAGTGTTGAGATTACACCCATGCACAACTGTGCCCAGTGCCTCTGTGGGTGCAGGGATTGAGCTCAGTTCCTCATGCTCACACAACAAGTGCTTTATCAACTGAGAAGGAGAGCCGGCTCCCCTATCTTACTGAAATAGCCAACAGGACTTTGTGCAATGGTGACGGTTCAGTCACCCTTGGTTGAATTTATTTTCCTTTCATTGAGAAATTACTACTGGTCACTGCTTTGTGAGGGAACATAAATGAGATCTGTCTTCAGAAACTCACAGCATGGCAGGATTCTCCCTCCCCCATAATGGCCGGCCTTCTGCTTTTCAGCTGATTTTGTGTGTATTAAGAGTTTTAGAATACCTCTTTAGCCTGCATCAATCCTTGGGCTGATCTCAGGCTTACAGTGGCTTCCTGAGGGAAGGGGTTCACTGCTCACTCTCCTCAAGCCCTCTAGAGGCCTGGCAGAAGAGGGGTACATTGTCTTCAGACTCTACCAGGAGGGAGGTTGGGTCAAGGCAAACCAGAACTGCTACTTTCCAGAATCCTGCTTCCCTGCTTTCCATTCCCTGAGAAGGTCCTGGTCCTGGCAGTTGGGGCTTGTAGGCTACAACAGAGATTGGAGAACAGCGCTGTTTGTGTGGGAGTCTGACGCCTCAGCTGGAGCATCTTGCAGTCCTTCCCTTCACACTGGAATCCTGAAGGGTTTGAAGTCCCCGTGAGCTGCCCCTGACCTGCTTCTGTTTCCCTCATCACAGATTCAAATTGTTCACTTCAACTCTAAGTACAGGACCTATGAGGAAGCCAAGAGTCAAGCCAATGGGTTGTCTGTGCTGGCGATCTTAATTGAGGTAGGGCTGGAACTGAGATGGGAGTCCACAGCAGGCCCCTGTGCCCTCATGTCCTAATGAGGTATGCTGTCTGAGTGACTTGTCTTCCTCTCTCTCAACCCCTTCCTGTGCTTCCCCAGGAAAAGCTCCCTCAGTGGACTGTGGACGGTTCTCCAGGCCTTGCTCACTCCCTTGCTATGACCCAGGGGACCCTGTGTATTAAGATGACTCAGTAGACCTGGGATCCCAGAAGGGTTCACTGGATAGGAACTATGTGTTCTGGGCTATGTGAAGCCTCAATGCAGCCAAAGGCAGCAGTGCTGTGTGCCTAAGAAAGTCCACATGATGGATTTAGGGATAGGTGATTAGGAGAAGGCAGGAACCAGGCTGCAGAGATGGCCCAGGCATTGAGAGCACCAGAGGACCCAGGTTCCAGCCTCAGCACTCACAGGGCACTTCACCACCAGTTCCAGGAGACTGAATGTCTTCATTTGGCCTCTGAGGGCATTAGGCATGCACATGGTACACAGACACACATGCAGACAAAACACGCATACACATAAAACGAAAATAAATAAATCTAAAAAACATAGGAATCTAATTCTCAAAAGAACTAAATATTAACTGGGTCAATTTATAAATAAAATGCCCAATTGGTTCCATAGTATCTCAAAACATATAAACAAAGCTGGTTGTAGTAGTGTAAGCCTGTAATCCCAGGAGAAAAATGTCAACAGAATGATTTGAATGTGTTGTGGTGCATAAGTGTAATTTCAGCACTCGGGAAGCAGACGTGGCTTGCTGCAAGTCTGAAGCCAGCATGGTCTGTGGAGGGAGTTCTAGACTAGGCCAGGCTACACAAGAGACCTTATCTCAAAAAAACAAAACCAAAACCAAACAACAACAACAACAAAACCCGAAAACCAAATCAATCTGGGTGGTAGCAGCACACACGTTTAATCCCAGAACTCAGGAGGCAGAGGCAGGAGGATGTCCAATTAGAGGCCAGCCTAGTCTACAGAGGGAGTTCCAAAACAGCCTGGGCTACACAGAGAAACCCTGTCAAAACAAATAAACAAACAAATAAACAAGCAAACAAACAAAAATCCAACTCAAACCAACAACAGAAAACAAAAATAATATGCCTTTTAGACCACAGACAACTTTCATTTTCATCTTAAAAGAAAGAAGCAAACAGGGCTGGAGAGACACCTTAGTGGTTAGAAGTCCTTGGTGATCTTCCAGAGGGTGGGAGTTCAGTTTCCAGTACCCACACACACAGCTCACAACCTACTGTGACTCCAGGTTCAGTGGGTCTTGTGCCCTCTTCTGGGCTCCATGGGCACTGCATGCAGATGGTGCCCACAGACACACAGGCAAACTCTGATTCATAGTAAAATAAGTCAATGGCATCAACATTCACATGACAGAATGGCTTAGCAATAGGGCTACAGGAGCAGTTTTGCCTGGGACATCTTGTCTGCCGGGAGCCCTGAGGAAGGAGCCCAGGTAGTTGGTAGCAAGGAGCAGTTGTCTTGTCTTCCCCAGCCCAGCTGAGCCACACTGCCCCCTTGGTTTCTGCTCAGCCTTCCCAGCTAGGAGACCAAGCAGCTGGTGCTGGGGTCGTTCTCCCTGGTACGGATGCTCTGTGCTTCTCCCCAGGTTGATGAGTTTGCAGAAAACACCTACTACACCCCCATCACTTCCCAGTTGATCAACATCCAGTATCCAGGTAAGGAACGCCCTCCCTAAGGAAGAAGATTGAGTGTGGATGATTATGGAAGCCAAGGCTCAGCCCTTTGGAGGGAGGTTTGGAGGTCTTCCACTGAAGGACCTTGTCCCAGACTTTCTGCTGTAGGTTTAGGAGGGAAACATACCTCTGAGAGACCT